GGGCACTATTCCTCCCACTGACACCAAAGATGGAGCACTATTCCCCCCACTGATACTAATGATGGGGCACTATTCCTGCCACTGATACCAATGATGGGGCATGATTCCTCCCACTGACACCAATGATGGGGCGCTATTCCTCCCACTGACACCAATGATGGGGTACTATTCCTCCCACTGACACCAATGATGGGGCACGATTCGTCGCTCTGACACCAATGATGGGGCACTATTCCTCCCACTAACACCAACGATGGGACACTATTCCTCCCACTGACACCAATGATGGGACACTATTCCTCCCACTGACACCAATGATGGGACACTATTCCTCCCACTGACACCAATGATGGGGCACTATTCTTCCCACTGGTGTGCATTGGAAGAGAGGTAGTCTTATATTGCGAGTATAGCCCAAACACTACAATTTACCAGGAAAAGTAGGGGGTCGTCTTATACGCCCAGTCGTCTTATACGCCGGAAAATACGGTATTATAATATTTTCTTGCATGCCGTCATTACGAGACTTGCTTAGGCTTTAGTGAGTCATTTACAGAGTGAATATTTGACTTCCTCAAGTAAGATAAAGAAATAAAAACACAAAACTAGAACACAGTGAAGAAATGTATTCATATTACTGCTGCAATGATATTTAAACTCTTCCATTTAATTTGTATGAGTCTTTTCTGCATTAGTGCTGATTCTATCTTACAAGTGTACTGATGTGTATATTGGGGTTGTGTATCCTGTTTAAAATTTGGCAAACCCAAACTAGAGGCAAATCCCTTTCAAATGCATGGGTGGCAAAATCTGTTATTAACCACTTGCCCTGCTGAGGATATACCCCCCTTCCTGACCAGGCCATTTATTTTGCATTACGTGTTTGTTATGTGTTCCCATTTTCACAGCAAACCCTTTCTAGGTGTTTACTTGAAGCTTGCTACTCTGAACAATCTGAAATGAGAGGAAACTGTTGCCACTTAAAAAGAGGGACACACCATTTTCCCCCTCATAAACATAGAAAACATAAGCCAAGCTTCTAGATCTTTAGACCTTTGTTAGAACAGTGTTCAGATCTATTTTACAGCTGATAATGTGATCTGCCAGCACAGTACAGATAGGGAAAATGATAGTAAATGTTGTGCATACCAGAAGAAAGCTACAGTTTTAGAGTTTTCAGAAAAGTGCAAGTATAATGTATGTTTAATAAGTTATGCTATGTGAATGAGAACAAGTAAAAATGATAAAGTAGGTGGTATCCCAATTTGGCCGAGAAAGTGGAAATACACTTTAAAGCGATACTAAAGTTAAATTTTTTTAAAAATAACAAACATGTCTATACTTACCTGCTGTGTGTAGTGGTTTTGATCCTACTCTTCTCGGGTCCCCCGCAGGCTCTCCTGGCTCCTCCTTTCTGTCGGGTGCCCCCATAGCAAACATCTTCCTATGGGGGCACCCGCTGCTCATTGTGTCCATTCACACATGGATCCGCGCCTTGGCTTCACCCTCTCCCTCTCCTCATTGACCAATGGCTCCCACTTGCTGTCTCAGCCAATGAGAAGGCAGAGACCCCGGACAGCCGAGGCTGTTGTACACATCAATGGATCGCGATGAGGGGGGCTGGGGGAGCTGCTGCACACAAAAGGTTTTTTAAATTCTTGCATAGAATGCATGAAGTTAAAAACCTTCAGCCTTTACAACCACTTTAAAACTGTATGTTACAGAACAATACATTTTTTCTTTACAGTCTTAGCGACTGTAAGGCCCCAGTAAAAAAGTGAAACTAAATTAGAATACGAGAGGCTTTTTAAATAGCAGCAACAGCATTTATCTTTTGGTGTCTGCATTTAAGTGGGTCTTTTTTTTATTAAACATTGAAAAAAAAAAAAAAAGGAGTACAGGTTCACTTTATGCTGGAAAGGACAGGATGTGGTTAGGTTTACATTAGGCATCAAAATTAAGTATTCGCCTTAAAGTGTTAGTTCACCTTTTTAGAAAAATTAAAATGGAAACTAACACCTTACACCTATTCCCTCCACCCCCCCCAGCCCCGTACTTACCTCCTGTGGGTGATGTACTGTCAGTGCCCATACAGACAGTGTAGTGGTATAGTGGTACGGGGATTTAAAATCCCCGGCCTTCACCCACTTCATTCTCTAGGGTTTTTGGGATGGATTAGAGCACTTCTCCTTGATCAGCACCGGCAAAAAGCTTGGGAAGATGGGATTTTGGGGGTAATATCAAAAAGTAATTGCTATTTCAGGCAGGCAGATAGAGAGCCATGACATACATATTAAAAGTTTTGATTTATCAATATAAAGTTTAAGGAAGTGAAAGTAGAAACGATAGATAAAGAGTCATGAACCAAAGACATTAGGGAAGTGAGATGAGAAGCTCAGCTATTGGAGGACCATCTGCAAAGCAGGGAAATGAAAGTATCTCAGTACATGTAAAGAATGCAAAACATCTGACCCACTACGTGAAACACTACTAACAAAATGAGTATTACTTATTCAATTAGATTTTGCATTACGAAAAGTAAAAAAATCGATTTTTGCCTTTCCTTAATCTTTGTTGTACTATACTGAATGGTATCTAGTTACAGAGGTACAAATTAGCTTGGGCTAATGAAGCTAAGATGTCATTGAAAGTGCAGCCAAAAGTTTGCATTGTGCAATAAGTGATTTTTTTCTGCTTGTGAGTTATCCAAAATCTTCTGCTGGTGTGTGATATAGTTTAGCTGCATTCTACCACTGGGCTTTCTATATAGGGGTTTATTTATATTTTCTGTATACATTATACTCTATGGAGGTGCAGGTGTAAACAGAAATCCAATCCGATCTGACCCGCAAAAAAAGGAATGGATGGTAATCCAATTCCCCTTCCGTTCATCGAATGGAAACAGACAGGTGGTCCGTTTTCATCCGACCATCCATTGACGAGAGCGAGCTGCTCTGTGTTTGCTCTGCAGTAGTGGAGCGAACACAGATCTGTCATTCGCTTGCTCTGCAGGGATCAGTGGAGAGATCCCCTGCTGATCAAGCAGATCCGCTAAATGGGTCTGCCCATGTAAAAGGACCCTAACTACATTGGTAAAGCTATTTTTTGTATATATGTAAGCTTTATGTCATGACATGTCTGTCATTATCAGACAGAGGGCCATTGCTTAGAAAATGTGTGTGTGTACATAATATATAAAATATAAATATATATTCCAAACCATGGCACCACCTGCCTGGAGTTTGCATGTTCTCCCTGGATCCTGTCTAAATTGTCCCTAGTTTGTATGAATGTGAGTTAGGGACCTTAGATTGTACGCTCCTTGGGGGCAGGGACTGATGTGAATGTACAATATATATGTAAAGCACTGCATAAATTGACAGCGCTATACAAGTAATAAATATATATTTATGTGATTTATGCTACGATAAGGCATTATTTGAGTGAGATACCATTATTGGCAATAGTTAAAGTTTAACTAAAGGAAAAACTTTTTTTTCTTAGTTTTGGATAAGGCGGAGAGGGATTAGAACAGCTGTCAGGTCTTTATTGTTGTCCGTGTCCTCGTTAAGGAGATTCACCTTCCCTATTTGTCCTGTTTACCATTATCATCAAAAGTGAAAGTAAAAGAAACCCCAAATTTTGCCCCATGTAATAGAGGGGAAATTATCCAACGGAGACACTAATTCTGGTGACCTGGGGATCCCCATTAATTTGCAGAGATGTTCTCACTTCCTAAATCAATACTGCAAACTTTGGTAAGTCTGTGATTGTAAGATTTTGTGGGAAGGAGGGACGGGGGAGGCAGTGCCACAGTGGAGCACATAGCACAACATGGTAATCAACAAATGGACAAGTGTTACAATAAGTGGGCATTACAATACATGGGAAACAAGCAATTACAACAATGCATAGGCAAAATACAGGGACAATAACAGGAACCCAGTAGCCTAAGTCAAATGCTTTCCACCCCAAGATCTATTTGCCCTGTCCTGTCTGCACATGAGATGGCCACAAGATTGAACCCAAATCTTTGAGCACCCATAAAAATGGAAAGACAGACAATTTGGGGTTTATTTACTAAAGCTGGAGAGTGCAAAATCAGACTCCCTTCTGCATAGAAACCAATCAGCTTCCAGGTTTCATTGCCAATGCTTCATTGAACAAGCTGTGGTTAGAAGCTGATTGGTTTCTATGCAGAAGGGAGTCTGATTTTGGACTCTCCAGCTTTAGTAAATAAACCCCTTTATGTCCTCCACTCTTCCTACCACTCCATCCCCCACAGCTATTCCTCCTGTACCACTATCCCCCCCTCCTAGATTGTAAGCTCCAAGGAGCAGGGCCCTCGAACCCCTCGTGTATTGCATTGTATTGTTATTGCACTGTCTCATGTATTGTCTCCCATTGTAATGTACAGCACTGTGCAAACTGTTGGCGCTATATAAATACTGTATAATAATAATAATTTATGTAATGAGAAATATTTGGTTGCCTCCATGTGCATATAGAGTTACTGAGTATACATTGGAAAACGTTATTTACAGTTATAGACAACAGTGTAACATAAATATCTGAAAACTGTAAAGCAGGGGTCTCCAAAGTTTCTAAGCAAAGGGCCAGTTTATTAACCTTCAGGCCAGACTGTGGTCAGTGGACGCAAGCAATGCCTCATTATTGGTATCACGGGGAGGAATAGTGCCCCATTATTTGCATCAGTGGGAGGAATAGTGCCCCATTGGTACTCTCAGTGAAAGGAATGGTTTCCCATCATCGGTGCCAGTTGGAAGAGTAGTGCCCTAAAGGCTGGATAAAGGCAAGCAAAGGTCCACATCTGGCCCCCCCCCAGGCCACAGTTTGGAGACCACTGCTGTAAAGAGTCTGTGATAACCATTTAATTCTATTTTAGTTATATTTCTCATTAAACACTGATAGTACTCACTTTTAATTTGAGGGTAGGCTAGAAAAAGAAATGTTAAACACCAATTATAATATTATTTTCTAAATGTATTTCCAATTCTTCTGTTGTCTAGTGATACAGGCACATGTGTTCCAGAGAGTGGACTTTTTGGATTTATGATTAGTGTGACTGCTATGTTAGGTAAGTCTTGAACACTTTTCTGAATATAAAAGAAATAAAGATGTCGATTGCAGTCATTGTTCTGATCTGCATCTCAGTTCCTGGTTTCTGTTCTTGCTGTGACTTTGGCTATTTTTTTCATCTAGCTCATTTTTTGCAGTTTTGTGCTGCTTTGTGTTGTATTGCAGCTTTCCCATACAGTACCCTGTGGTTTCTTTGTTGCATGACACATTAAGTCATTTTGTCTGTTTACCTCTGTCATCCTCCGCTGCTTTCTGTTTGCCTTTCCATATTTATCCTGTGTTTTTCATCACTATTCTGCTGTCCATACTTTGCTTTTTTTTTTGTTCCTTAGTTTCTTCTGTTGTACCTTCTTTCCCTTTTTTTTGGTGCCCTCGTAAAAATCAGACCTTCACCCAGCAGACAACATATTTGTAATTGGCACCATACCCCTACCTCTCCCACAATTAGATTCAGGGACTGTGGAAGCTTATGTTTAGGGGGGTTGTGATGTGAAGAGAGATTCAGGACATTGATGTACATAAGGGGCAATGATGTGAAGGGGGGGCTGACACTATTGTAAAAGGGGCTATGATGTGAAGGAGGGGGGCACTGAGAACACGTAGTAAAGAGGGGACTGTGATGTAAAGGGGGCTATGATGTGAAGGGTGGGCTGAAGACATGATGTACTGGGAGGCTGTGATGTGGAGGGGGGCTGAGGACACTGATGTAAATAAGGGGCTATGATGTAAGGGGGGGGCTGATGACAATACTCTAAAGAGGGGCTATAATGTGAAGGGAGGGCACAGAGAACACTGATGTAAAGAGGGGATACCGACGTAAAGGGGGGCTGTGATGTGTTATAGCGCAATCATGAGAGTCAGACCTCTGCTGGAAGAAAATTTTACTGACCGGACCCCCCTGAATTTTAATTCAAGACCCCTGCCTTAGGATTTTTCAGATCGCTCAGTCTTTGATAAGCAGCTCTCTGCTGGCCAATACTACATAATATACTCTGACATCATGACTGCTGCCGGCTATAATGAAAATCATCATTAAAGTAAAATGAAATTTTATAATACATACTAATGAAACCATAGTTGATTTGATCAATGCTTTCATAGCTGACCGATACCGATCAGAGGAATTTAGAGCACATATGAACTCCTAATTATTATTTTGTGTATAATTATTATTACTGTACAGTGAAGCCTGTGGACTATCAGCAGAAAAAAGATGTTTTAAAAATTAGCAAAATCAATGAAGCTTGGTTGACCCCTTACCCTGTCTGCTGAGGACCACCACTGCAAGGGATCGCCTGTCCTCTCTTGCCCATGTGTGTCAACATTTTATTGACATGGTTCACAGTAAAGTGATATGAGTCATTTAATGCAGCTTCTTTATGTAGCACTACCCCCTTAGGAGTTGCTGAAGATTTGGTTCCCCCTGTACAGCCAGGCGTCACACATCCTAAACCAAGACTTGACCAGGAGACAGAAAACCAGTCCTTGAGCTTTGTTTTGAAGTTTCATTAGGGATGTAGAACTTGGATGGGGTAAAGGCTAAATGGGATGCCCAAGGAAATAGCAACTGAGGACAAACTTCCTTGAATTTTAAATAGTTACAAGTCTTTATGCAAACAAAAATCCTATTCTGGAGAGCTAGCCAGCATCTCCCAATTTACCTCTCCAACCCAAGATACTTCTCAATCTGGCTCTATGGAGGAATCCCTGGACATGGGATCCAGTAGTCACTACTAGAGGGCAATAGTCCCACTTGCAGAGCAAGTTAGGTTTTGCACCCAAATGCTCTCTTACCTCACTGGCCTAGGGGGTGTAGATGTACTCACTGAGTCCTTCTCCTGTGCTGCTATTGGGTAGATGGCTGCTACCAGGTCTATCAACTGGGTTGCTCTTTCCCTACCACCAGGTAGTCCTGCCTCAGTGGGCCAGTGAAGTCCACAGCTTTCTACCTTTCAAGGTTCCTGTACCTCTCTACCTCACTTCATCTTCCACCCTCACTCTCACACTACTGAGCAGGTTCTCTTACCTTTGAGGGTTGTCCTGGCTCCTTTCCAACCTCCTGTTAGGGATTGGCCAGGTTCCCTCAAGAGTACAGACCCATGCACTGCCTCCGCTTCCTCCAAAGCTCTATAGCAATTGGGGATTACAAAGGGGCTAGCCTAAAGAGCCTCTCAGCCCTGACCACAATTTGACCCCACTCTGGCTATTACACCTGGGCTGCTGCTCAGCCCCTATCTAACCATTGGAGTCTAGCTCCCCCTAGCTACCTAGGAGGGTGCTACATTTTTATTTTAATTCTTGCCTATGTTCCAGTTTAAATTCACCTTTGGGAACATGTTACATGTTCCACCTGTTTTTAGGGTGGAACATGTAACATGTTCTCTATGCTGCAGCTACCACCCATAGTTCTCTCTCTCTGTGATAGCAGTATGGGGAGAAGTTCCCCGTACTAGCTGTCACTTTTTGAAAACCCACACGGTTGTGCCATTCATTCACAGAGTTCGGTGAATGAACCAACTACAAGTATCAACTACCTTTTTTTAACTGCAAAAAATCTGCATTTATTTTGTTTTAAAAAGGTACTTATCCTTTAAACTGGCACACTGACTGCTGCCCCAGGTTTCCTATTTCAGAGTGGCTCCTTTATTTTGCAGTGACCTATAGACCCTTGCATGCAGGGAGTAGAGTTCTGTCTTCCTACACTGTGTGGATCAACAGAACACACAGCCCCGTAGTCTAGGTTGGCAAGGCACTCCCCTGGTCCTTAGAATCTGAATCAAGACAGTATCTCAAATAAACATATAAACCTATTCCCTGAAAGCATATAAGTATTACTTTTACCCTTGAAAGTGTAATAAATGATAATACCTCAATATACTTACCCTATAGCCAAAGCAAACAAGTACTAAACTAAATAAACTATGTATAAATCAATTGAATCAAGTACACATAATAATATAAACGCAGTGTAAAAAAAAAAAAAAAAAAAAAAAAACTATAAAACGCAGTGTCCAAAAATAAATATTATAAACACAGTGTCCAAAATACCAAGGTATAAATCTATTAATCAAGTACATATAATATAAACGCAGTGTCCAAAAATACATAGTAAAAACCGCAGTGTCCAAAATACCTAAAGGTTTTTTAGCTTAACACATTGAGCATAAACATTCCCCAGTAAACTATTTAAAATTCTTACCATAGCAAAGCTTTCAAAGTGTACAGTACAGTCTGGAGTAAGTCAGTTAGTTCAGAGAAGGGAGGGGGGGAGAAAGAGCAAGGACCAGGGGAATCAAGTACATATAATATAAACGCAGTGTCAAAAAAAAAAAAAAAAAAACTACTATAAACGCAGTGTCAAAAAATATTATAAACGCAGTGTCCAAAATACCAAGGTATAAATCTATTAATCAGGTACATATAATAATATAAACGCAGTGTCCAAAAATACATAGTAAAAACGCAGTGTCCAAAATACCAAGTGTCCAAAACTATACTAAAGATGCAAATCCAAGTCCTTTCTGACACTTTCCCAAAAAGACTCCAAACTCCAAAGTGATCCTCAAAAAAAAAAAAAAAAACTACAATAGTGTATTAGCCTTAAAACAATAATGTACAATCACATACAACATAAGTGTCACTCCACATCAAACGTGACCATATATGTGAATCAAGTGCTCGACGTGGAAAAACATGCTAGTGAAACACTCTGGTGATCCAACAAATCAAAAAACTAAAGTGCTAGAAGTAGTGCACACTTCTATAGTGTAATGACTGAATACCCTTACCAGATGGCAAAAGAAACAGCACTTTAATACCACTAAGGGTATACACCATCCAAGGAAAGATAATCCAGCCTGGATATGTTCGTTGAGATGTCCTCATAGCCTCATGGATAATGCATCTAGCTGTCATCAGGACCTTGAGCAGGATTACTCCATAGTATTCATAGTACCCATCATATATAAAAAGGATATATAGTGTAATTCCGTATGGTATAAATAAATAACACTTTATTATGCTCTTACTTTTAAAAACCGATAAATAGCACCACAGCTCTCATAACCCAAACTTTTGCCGAGCTCAGCAGCTATCAGAAGTGTATGGATGTGATTTCTTATCTCCAAACCTTAATGCAGAGTCTCAGCAGTAGACCGGAGCGTCTGAATAAAATCTCTTAATCCGAAAACCCCATGCAAAGTCTTAAGAGCTAGCAGAAGTGTCTGGATAAAATAACCCTACATGCCAAACCTCTTACAGAGTCTCAGCAGCTAGCGGGAGCGTCAGGGTCAGATTTTCCAATTTCCAAAATGGCCGATTTGCCACTTTCGGTTCCTCCGTTGTGTCTGATGTCACTTCCTTGACATGTTTCGTCTCAGGGACTTATTCATAAGGATGTGTACTTCAGATAGGGCAGTTCCTTTTGTACCTCTCCTCACATTGGAGTCGGGCGTCGTCGAGTACAAAGTCGCCATCTTACACCAGGGAAAGGTGCCAACACTGTCTCTCCATAACATTAAGAGAGTGTATACTAATCTTATATTGCACAAATAAATAACGCAGCCAGCCCTACCAAATCATTACTAATATTAATCCAAGACGTTATAATGAGCCAGAGAACAGATACAGCACAAAGCCATATACACAATTACTAATATTAATAATTAACTAACATTACTCCGAATAATCACCCTTTAATAGGTTCATTAAAATAACCAATTAAATACATATATTAAAGTGCTAATTAACACATTAACTACTAAAACAATCTTATAATGTGATCTCCAATCACATATAAATGCTCCAATGGTTCTATAACTTCTGACTACATAACGGATAAATAAACCACTATATCACTTATCCATAAAAGGCTATCTACCTCCTCTATAATAAAATAATAAATATCAAATAATTATCCATTAATAAATATCTGTATTGGTTGTTCTTCCCCTCGTAATCGTTGGGATACGGATAATCTCTTGGGGCTCCCCTTCCCCA